CAAAGCTAAAGACTCCAGCCTGCTACATGGCTAACATCTTGAATCAAACACTCTTTCAGTCCTTGTTTGTTGATTATTCCAAGCCCATCTGTCATCTTTGACAGTGTACAGCAGCTCCTTTATGGTAACATGCGAGGATTGTGTTTATTGGTGTTGGTGCTTTAAATAACATTGAAGGCTTTAAGCTTGCAGATGGATCTAACAAAAAATTCATGGTCGGCCCAAAAGGGCAGTTGGGACAGTGGTCAGTTGTAAAAGTCGCCCCACCTCTCGCGCTCCCCAGCAGACACAGAAGAGGAGTAAAGTTTGCTGATGTTGGAACAAAGGTTATACCCTCTACACTGACGGCTGCACTGGGAGTAGTTAAAGTAAAACGACTGTTGGAGGTCAGTGGTCACCAGAGAGTGATGCATGGATCCCGGCCCAGAGATGGCTTTTCTCCACCGGTCAAGGTCAGAGCCAGATATCCTGGCCCGGGTACAGCCACAGACATGAAGTGTGTGTGTTCACATTAGGCTCGACACAACTGTCTGTTTTTTATCCTTGTTGCCATTTACAGTGTGTTGCCAAGCTTTATTAAATGTCTTCCACATGTACTGACTGAAATAGATATTTAAGGCAAAAATCTTATTTGAACATGAATATTTATAAGATGTATTTCATAGTCACTGCTCATTAAAATTTTACTCTCCTTTTGGTACAAGAAGGGAAGCTGTCAAAATATTAATTAGGGTTGTGCAAACATGCATTTTTAAAAGATGGCGGATTATCAGCATTATCTGGTCAGTGCTGTGGAATAACTTTAATGGGGTTTTTTTCTCTCTCTTTCTTTTTGATCACTGTCTTGCCACCCCGCTCTAGTGTAAAATTTCTGGATGGTGACATATTTTCTGCCTAACACACTGCAAGAGTCATGAAGGCTACTTAAGCACTTAAGCTTAAGATGTGGGAATTAGGCAACATCCATGCTGTTATTCTTAAGTTTATAAAGATCCCCCAGACATATTTTAAGACATGTAAAAATACTATGGTCTGATATGTATTTTTTTCACAAATATGTAAATTACCAAGGTACATTTCTTAAAATCATATCTACTTTCTGTTATTGAAAATCCAGAATTTATGAATATACAAATATTTTTTGTTTCATTACCAGACACAATGTCTCCTTCTTCCCTGAAAAGTCCATTCTCAGGCAAATGTGATTATGCACAGATTTTACTAAGTTGCATATTGGACCATTATAGTAATGTCACAAAATCCTGCTTGTACGTGCACACCTAAAACAGAGATTGAAGATGGCCGCTGAGAAACGTTCCCCCATCAACAGACACTTTTTTTTTAAGACATCATTCATAATGACGGTTAAACCTCGATATGAAGTAATAATAAGGTAAAATTATTATTATTTGTGTTTATTATTATTAATATTAGGGGGACTTTAAGTGTTATAATATAGATCTAATGTCCAATCTCAATATCTATTTCCATAAGCTGGAGATACTACAGCAGAGAGACTAAGGGGGTAAACCCAAATTTTAGCATTAAAAAACAAATGAATCTCAGGGGAAGCCTTTAAAGCCAAAGACCTTATAATACAGCAAACAAACAAGGTGAAAGGATGAGGCAAAAAGTTTATGTATGAGTAGAGACACAAAACCCTGATGCTTCAGTGATCCTGTGTTCACATGATGATTTTTTCCTTTGTTACAGTGTTAGCACTAACTACTGAGCAACCATGATGCTGTAATGAAGGCAAGAAAAAATACTATGAAAAACTTCACAGTAATAACCGTCATAAATGATCTGCTGTGATTTGTGTGCAGATTTCAGGGCACAGAGATTGAGGTGAATTCCCCTCTGTGAAGTACAGTTAATATTCAACTTTCATGCCAAGCGGCTCTCATGATTTAGCAACACGCGTGATGCAGCGTTTAAATCTCCTGCCTCGTGTTTGCTTCACTTTTCTCTCCCTTTTCCTGCTTTTTCTCTGGTTCCATTTGAAGGAATTGACTTTTTCTCTGCAGGTATTACTTCACCATTTTCAATTTCAAGTGAATTCTGCATTCACATTGTTGCATATAAATCCTCCATGGTTGGTGGTATAATGAAACACAACTCCTCCATTCCCCCTCGCTCCGTAGCGAGAAGAAAGAGGCTTAACAGAGTGGCAGCACATCATCATCACTCTATAGAGCTGATTAAACACATCTCCTCAAGCCTCGTCATAATTTGCCGCCTAACGAGGACTTCCTGCATAGTTATGGTGTTGCACCTAAAACACAGCTCAATGTAAACATGATTAATGGTGTGAAATACATATTTAGCCTACATTTGAAGACAGAGGGAGGAAAAAATAAGATAGAGAGAGCACAGTGGATGATGGACCAACATGTGGTAATTAGTGGGTAAGGTAAACAGCCATGGGGGAAGCCAAAGGGCGGGTTCACAGCCTGTTAGTGGATGCTCTCATTCTGGCATTGAGTATCCTGAGGGCTCATGGAGAGAGAGGCAAAGGAGGAAGTCAGGAAATGCATCAAGTTCACTGAACAGCAGTGGGGTATTCAGTCTTTTTCTGCTATATATTTGTGTATGTGTGTGAGAGAGAGAGAGACTGCACTTTAACAGTTTTCTTCCATCAGTTGGCGACGACATGTTGCTTATACTCACAATTGATTGGTGGTTGGACTGTAACCTTGGCAACCCATGCTGGGGGGGAAATTTTGTTTTTTCCGAACGGTTCAAAAAATGGGTTTGGAAAATAAAATGATAGTGGTTTAACTCATTGCATTCACCAGGTCATTTGACCTTCACATCCTTTTTATGTCAACATGATAAAAGAAAAAAGGGCGTTTTAAGATTTAAACAGCAAATTTTATGAAAACATTGGAAAAAAACAGTTGTGGAAAAAGATGATTTATCATCTGCAAAACTGCTCAGAACTTGTCACGTTTGGTGTCAGAAAACTAAGGAGGAGGAGGAGTGTGAAAAACAACAAAGCTCTTCACACATCAGGGTTAATAAATAAATCATAATTTACTTAAACTAGAATGGTTTGAATTTGTGGGTTGTGATTTCATTCAAAGACAGCTGCAAGACATAAGGATTTTTAAAAAGAACAAAACGCTAGAAAAATATATAACATTTATTTTTGTGTGTTTTTTCGCTTGTCTGATATAAACACTGTTACAAGCAGTGTCTTAATTGGATTAAACAAGGTGCCAGTACCCTACTTCAGCACACACCTAACCCAAAACACATCATAACCCTATCATAATGCTGTAATTTAGTAAAATTATATACACTTTCTTTCTTTCATCTTTGTGAGTATCATTTTGGACTTCATAGAAATGTGTCTCGAACAGTACATACAGTAGGCAAAATGTGTGCTATACAATGCTATATTTATACAATAATACTATATCATTACAGTATAATTATGATTGGTGGTTTGTTGTTAAATTGAGCCTATAAGTTCCACTGTAATTACCAAAGAACATAATATATCTCTGTGGTGATGACATAGTTTGAATTGGATTCTGACACTGTTTATTTGTGTTGAGCACAATGGGCAGTGCCTGCTCTTCCTCTATCTGCCTTCTCTCTTTCTTTCTCTCTCAGTCTCCTGATCTTATCCCAGACCTAACTAAAAGGGGTACCTTACTTTAACATGAATTTCAGCCCTTTACACAGACTAAATTGGAAGAAAAGCATTTAAATTACCGTTGAATGTTTATCAACCATTGACCATTAATGTTAGCAGGCTAGTTAGTTAACTAGTAAAGTGCAACTAACTATGCAGATCACCGGCATCATGATGGATGTCCACTGTTTAATGTAGACCACACAGACAGGAGCTGTTCATCAGTCTGGGGATGAACTACAAACAGTCCACTAGTAAAATACTTTAGTTTCCTGTTTACAGTGGGATTACGTTCAGTAATCTTGTTGGTATACAATATCTTTGAAGCATCTAAGTCATGTTACTTTTAGGAAACTGTTTCACAACTTTTATCATATACACCTTGCTCAGGTGTTCATCTGAAAAACATCACAATTATATGGATGTGGAGGAGCAAGGGAGCACATTTTATCATGTTATTTACTGAACATATGGACTTTGGTAAGTTAATTAAGTAACCAACGTTTATTTTTTCTTAAGGGATGACTCACATATCATAAAAGGTGTATTTTTGGTATCATCTATCACCTAAAACATATTTTCAGATTTTTCAGATGCACACACACATACAGCACACCCACAGACATGCGTAGAGAAAGAGGAAAGGAAGGAGGGGAGATCTTGATGAGAAGATGAGAACATATTTGTTTTTGTCAGATAGCTGGAGGAAGAATTCAGTCGATGTTAATGAGAGGCAATTAGTTTTGATTAAAAATGAGATTGCTCCCCTACATGCAATGTAGCCATATCAAAACAAAATAATGATTAATTTCTGTTGGTATAAGACATTATTGTCAACAGCAAAAGTACCCATGCAGCAACGATACAATTGCTCTGAAGCCGGAGAGAAGGAAAAACATTCATTTAGGGACTTGGCTGGATGTTCCTCTGGAGTTGCTCATAATAAAGTGTGTGGGTGCTTGCGTGTATGCATGCACATATACAAGTGTGCCAGTGTGTGTAGAATATGTACACAAAATGTGTTTGCGTGGGAGGTTTCTGCATATGTTTAACTTTTTGTAATCATCCTGCCTACATTTTAAACTCTGGTTACACCTCATGTTTTTAATTGTATGTTATTATTTGTTTTATCTTTAATGCCCATGTAAGGCTAATTTTAATTATGCCCCCTGCTTGCATTTTTATCTATGTATTTGTTACATTACAGTCTTTTTCCACTTCTTTTCTCTTGTGTCAGTATCATCAGGATTCGTTTTGGCATCTGTGCTGTGTGCATACATAAGTAAAGGTGTGTGTGTGCGCGTGTTTGCGATAAACTAACCTGTTTTCGTTATGTATCTGTGCTCACCTTCCCCAGCGTCCATTGTAATTGGGAAATGGTGGTGTGAGATGGAACCATGTCTGGAGGGAGAAGAGTGTAAGACTCTGCCTGACAACTCTGGATGGATGTGCTCCTCTGGGAACAAAATCAAGACCACAAGAGTGAGACCTCACACACATTCACACGCACACTTAAGCACAAATGTTTGTACATGCATTCACAGACCTACACTCGCAATGCACAGACGCACACTCACATGTACAAGACACGTATATGCCTTTTCTGTATGTACTGTAAATGCACATTTAACACAAGCATTCACATACCTGCACACACATCCACACATGCACACGGGCACACACCATCTTCAAACACAATATGCCCAAATGCCAGACAGATTTCACTTTACTATTCAACCTTTCTCCCTGGACTGAAAAATCAAGAAGCTGTGTTTGGATACTTTGATTAAACGCTTTAAGCTTCTCTGCCAACTACCTGCCTCATTTTTAATTAATCTTCTGTCATTTAACAATCAAACATGCAAAGTCTCAAACCTGTGGGTAAAAAAGGGTGTGCACTGCACAAATCACACTGTATAGAGAATACTCAGAAAGCACAGCACATCTGTGCCCTCTGTATAACAAGGTGGAATCAGTTCGGTGTAAGCAACCAATCTAAAGGCCCATAGTAGTAAAGAACAAACATAAAGCAGGCAGTAAACAAACAGGTGGGCTCTGCCTCAGGCTACACTCCTCTCAGAGATAAAGTTAACGGGCACTCTGCTTCTTCACTGCCTCTCGGCTCTGTAAACTGACTCCGAATGTGGCATGCAAAAATAATGAAGGGAGTTAAGCCTTCGAAGCCAGTCCAGTCCAGCACTCTGTGACAGGTTGATCACCCGATTTGTATTCATTTAATTGACTCGCCCCCCCACCTGCTCGCGATCAGCAAACCCTCGTCTACTCTTAGTGCTTGGTGACAATGACTTTGAATAGAAGCAGAGACTAATGTGATGGTAGGGAAAGAGGGAACAGCCAGTGAAGGTTAGACCACACGGGGCTTCCCAAGGTTGTTCTGCAGATTTATATGCCAACAGATAGACATAAAGCTTTCACTGGGCCCCTTCACAGCCACCACAGTCCCAAAAGTTTCAGAAAGAAGTTGATCGAACGGGGCCTTGCCATCCTGTCAAGGTAAGGCATAGTGCTTGGTTCACTTTAAAGAATGCATCTCTAATTCTCAATTATGTCCTTTGCACAATTTCAGATAACTAAATTAAAATCATGATTGTCTTTATATAAGATGGGACATATTATATTTTATTTAATATCTTGAGATACATTAATCAAGATTGTGCACTTCTGCACACAAATGGAGAATGAGCATTAATACATATTTATGAGTAAAATGGCTTAGGTAAACTATTATCAGAGCCTTAAGAGAAGAGGGCCAAAAAGACAGGCCCGAAGCTGCTTTTCTACCCAATACACATATGTCCTTTTTTCTTGACCCTCTCTTTGCAGAACACCCAGCCATACTCCCCTTTTTAGCTTCCGGAAGCAAAATGCAGAGGATGCGTCAACAGAAATTGAGCTGCATTCTTGCTTCTGTAAAGGTTAGTCTTTTTCTCAAGCTGTTGTTTGCTTTTGTTTTCCCGTCTCTCTCTCTCTCACACACACACATCACTGTAATGCACTTGAGTGTCGGGCGGTAGGAGTGGGGCCAACTCATGTTCAATGACTTCTCATTAACCCAAATACTCAGTGCGAAATAATCAAGTGTGTGTTTACATGCTGTGCATGATTAGGCAGGCGTGACACAAATACTGAACGCATCGCCACCCACTGTAAATATTTATCACCCAGCACAGGCAGTGCATGCATAAATAGAAAGTAAGTTGCTGCATTTTCCTATAAACGGTGGCACATGTATCACGAAAATTTATCAGTCAGTACGTAGATGGGTAAAGACGCTAAAACACTGCAGCAGCTCGCTCACAGAGTTCTGTAGAAACACACACACACACACACACACACACAGAGAGAGAGTCAGGTCCACCCCTTAGCAGAGCCCTGCTGTCTGTGAACAGTGTGTAATGGCAGGATCAGTCCCTCTTCCTTTCATTGCCTCCTTTGTTCCATGTCCTGTTTTTGCTATCGGCCACTGTGTGGGTTTGATTACAGTGCCTTACACCGCTCTGCCAATCCCATTAGTCACTAATCTGTGACATGCTACTTGCTCCTCTCTGTGTGTGTGCTCCTAGTTGTGTATGAACGCACATGTTTTGATGTGTTTGATATGTCTGTGTTTGTGTGTGTACACTCACATGTGTGCACGAGACCCACAGGCAAAGCCTCTTCCCTTTTCGTTGTGTGGCTTCTTATCAGAGGCCACTTGATATCCTGATCCCCCTCCGAGGGTCTTGTTGAAACAGCTATCAGCACACAGCATAGCCCACAGGCTACATGAAAGGCCTTTTATCCTGCACTCTGCTCTTTTTTAATCAACATTCCTCATTCACCTGCCTCTCAGGCCAAATTGACTCATTTGTGTTTGTACCGTAACTAGCCAGTAAGCCCACAACATGGCATTGTTTTTTTTCTTTTTGGAACTCTCAGCTATGTTATTTCACCTGCTGGCTTTCATTTTGCTCTGAAAAGTGTCAGTGAAGCACGATGAGGCAGACACACACACACACACACACACACACACACACACGTTCACCTGCACACAGACTTCATCACTATCTTTCATTAAAACAAATTGGCATGAAAAGTAAGAAGCCAAGCAAAGCCAGTGCCTGACATCCATGTTTCTTCTTTTCTTTCTTTATGTCTTTCAGAGAGGGAGCCCTTCATTGCCTGTTCTGTAGCAGCAGACAAGGCAGGCCCTTTTGTTTGTGGAAGTCACAGTGAGAGCAAGGCTGGGGGAGAACCTTCCAAAACACTCGCCCACCATAGATCTGCATTACCCGCTCCACTTGCTAAATAGATCAAGCCATTTTCTGCTCCCTCCAAAACAATTATACACCTTAAGAGACAGGCAGAATGAGAGAGGCTGTAATGAAAACATATTTTCTCCCACTCGCTCTTCTTCCCTGCTTTTGATAATAGTGAAAAGAATCACGTTCATTTGATAACCTCACTGTTAGTGTGCTAGATTGAATATGAATTTGTCATCAGTATTAAGGCAAGAATGTCATACATACGTAATACAAGCCTCATCTGCCATTCAATGAATTTTAATGACTTATTTAGTCATTTCACACTTCAACATAACCACTTATGTAAAGAAGTTGTTTTAACTGTGCAAATGTGCAATAGCATTTCCACTATGGGGTATGTAATTGTTCAGATTAGTGAGTGCTAAGCACTGTACTCAAGTGGATACCCGAACATCTTTCACACTTAACAGTGTGCGTTATTAAAAGAAGCAGAGGGCACTATTTCAAGCAAAATAACACACTGTGACAGGATGTAGCCCATCTGTGAGACAGTTTCAGAGCAAAAGTGACCTGCCAGCAGATGCATCACCATCTAATTTGTCAAATCGGGAGGCCGCACTCTGCAGTTGATAAAAATGAACTCCAAGCGGCCATGCAACATACAGTTCAACTTCACAGAGAAATCATCTGTTCCACCACTGAGCTTGACAACACTTCTCCTCCTCCTCCAGTCCTGAATAATGTCATCATGAAAACAAACACACAATCATACACATATGGCATATTTAACAGTGTTTCATTTGAGATTAATAATCAAATACTTGTTTGAAAGGTATGAGGTTATAAACTGAGAGATGCAATCCGAGCTGCCAAGAATGGCCAGATTGTTGACATTTTTATTATACAGGTTTAGGGTGGAGGAGTTCATTCCAAGTGCTACTGATTAATTTATATCCATTTTCTTTGCTTTTTCCATTGTCAATGTCACATTAAATGGATCTTGATGTATTTTGTTGTCTGGAGTCTTCTGTTTTTAGAGGGTGCTCTTTAGTGCTGTTTGAAGAGGTTTCTGAGCTGGCATGATTGATTTGTTCAGCACTAAACGAGAAAGGGGGAAAGGGTAGGCTGTGTTTGCACTAAATTCTTTTGCTAAGGCAATTGTCCTTGGCTCCTTTTACTAACTGAAGTCTGAGTAAATTGCAATTTAATGCGGCCAGCAAATTAGAATGCAGACAGCTTAGTTGCCAGCAAAGATGGGATAGGCAGGAAATCCTTAAGCAATCCGCTGCTACCTGCTGCACTTTTCATTTGAAGAGACAGAGGACAAAAAAGAACAGAGGACACTTTTAGTCACACACACATGCATGTGGGTTGAAATGACAGTATTTGCATACAACCCCTGTTCTCCCACTAACAAACCTCTGGTGGATTGTGTCTTAGATAGAGAGTGAGCCGTAAAATGTGTAACCTGTTACTGCTCTTGCTCTGGCAGAGGTCATTCTCTGCTCCAACATTTTGATATGTCGTCCTACAATAGATGATACAGATGCAAATGCTGGAAAGATGAGCCCAGAGGATTACTGTGTTTAAGGATCATAGGGAAAAAGGATCAAATCTGTACAAAGAGAGACACTGTGACAAGACCTGGAGGAGGAATCAACATGAAAAAAATTGAGAATTAGAACGTTCAGAGCCCACAGAGGAACAGCTGCAATGCAATTACCCAAATAGGCATGATGTAGTCAGCAAGGGAGAATACATCTGAGCTACTAAATATTTCCTTAACATGGGGCTGTGCGACAGCTTATCTGACATCTGTATTAACAAGTTAAAAAAATGAATTTTCTTTTAAAAGAAGTCATCCAATGGGGTTCTACTTCTTTCTTTTGATGCTTCCCGTTTTTCAGGGACTCTCTGGCATCAGTATCTTCAAGACAGACCTTCTGTAGAAAATACTCAGCAGATTCCTTTGCAAAGGCTGTGCAATGTGAATTTGTTATTTTAGTTTAGTTTAAATGTTATTACTATTATGCGTCTGGATCTAGATTTGATTCTAGATACAAATGATAATGATCAATCAATAATTACTCTATTTACTCCTTTAGGTATCAGAATGTATTTAAATCTTTTTCTAGATACTAAGGGTTCTGCTAGCTAACTAACAAACACTAAAAGGACTGAAAACAGTAAGTTGATTTCACACATTCACCCCATTGGCAGAGTTTTGCTAAATAACGAAGATGAAGACTGTTTGTTGTTTATCAGTTTATTCTGTCAAATCAACTACTGTCTACCAACAATATAACTGCAATGCATTATGTTTTCAGACATACTCAATGATGTTGATGCTAAATTATAGCCAAATTATAACGCCTGAGAGTCTCCTCCTCTGCTTTGTTCTCTGAAGCATAATCTCAAAATAACACACAATACAGTAGGTGAATACAGGTGCACATAATTATACTCTCAGAAAATGGTTAATAAAATCATTTGGCTAGCATGTCCGACACATTGGAGCTCTGAGACTCTCTGTGTAATACATCTGACAGAGTCCCAAGCAGCCCCCTCCACAATCAAATCCACACACCTGGCTACCACCTGCCAAGCCTCCTGGAAATGTCATGACTGTATTTCTTAGTTGAACAGGATTATGGGGTTTCTAATTGGCCCCACGGTGTGCAGGCGACTTCAGGTTTCTTCTCTGTACAATCTTAAAAGCAGTGAAATAACTGAAAAATGTGATGAAAGTGTGGTAAAGAAATATTCTGGAAAACATGCTTTTGCTGCACAGACAGTCATAAGAGGGCAAGGAACCCAACTGCTTTAACTGTGGTAGACATCGTGCACACAGTTTTTATTGAGCTTCAGGTTGAGCAGGATGCTGAAAAGCAGGACATTCAATAGCAGTCTCAAGGTTGCACAATGTACCATTGAAATGTGTCCAGGTCTGCAACTGAGGCTGAATAAGAGTCCCTGAACCAGAGTCACGGAGAGACAGCTCAGACTCCACAGCGGGTGCCCTGATCCCATTTAGCAATGCCAAAGTCATTTTATCGGGTTGGAGGAAAATGCTCAGTTATGATTGGCTGGCTTGGTATGAAGGTGCAAACTGGGGGGGTTGGGCAAAGGGATGTGGCTAAAACGGTCTAAGATAAAGTCAAAAATATGCCAGAGTGTCAATTTGTGAAGCAGACGTACACAGCATGGAAACACACCATGATATTTCTGTACAAAGAGCTTTCCTGATATATCCCGGTATAGCCTACCTATAAATGCCAAACACACCTCCATTTTCAGTGCTGTTTCCACTCGTATAAGCTGTCTGTTTTTAGTAGCAGCAGGAACCAGGAGGTGAGACAGGGCTGTACAAAGCCTCCACAGTTCAAAAGACTCCCCTTGTTTTTGAAACACGCGAACGGAGCAATTCCTCTGGGTCTAATCCTCGCACACTTGTATGCCTTTGTTCTATCTAAGTGTATGTGTGTTTTCTCTCCTCTCCTCTTCCTCCTCTGTGTTGCAGATTCATCCCAGGACCTAACAGAGAGCTCCCATCGCAGGGCTGCGTGCCAGGCTCTTCCCCTCATCTACCCTTTCTCTTCCCACCGAACGGACTAAAACTATTACATCCACGGCTACTGACTGGATTACCTGCGACCACAGAAAGGATATCCACCCAGATAAAACAGCTTTGCTCGTGTGGTGCCAAGGATTTGAAACCAGACTAATCCTCTGTTTGATCAATGAGCCTCATGTTGGTGACTCTCCTCTTCCACACAGCTGTGGCCAGTTTCCGACCTACTCTCTCTCTGTTTCCCTCACTCCGTCTCCCCCCTCAAAAACTGAAACAGCTTAGCAGGGGTTATTTAGAGGTTGTTAAAACATTATTTGATAGACATTCGCCCCCTGTCTGAAGGTAAATCGGTTGAGGAGCTTACATGGACCCGAACATAAATGCGGAACTGAGGGCACAAGGAAGGAAATTACCTTGATATTCTTTTATTTCCGTGTTGAAGGCATTTGTATTTGACTCGCTACCCCAGCAGGACAGCTTGCTGTGACTACACTGAGGAGATTTGGTTGAAAAACACTGGATTTTCTGTGACTAAGGCCACTAGCAGCCTATAATGAGTTAATGAAGAATCTTTGAGAGGCTTTACGGTCCGTCCTCATGGCCTCGCTTTCATCCTTCATGATGGACATTTTGACTTTGTTCGAGGGCATGCCCGATGTAAATTCATGAGCACCTCTTTTATGTGTATGTAAGATAATTTGTGTATATATACATATATAAATACATAACATATAAGATGACAGATCCAAGAAGCTGAAAAATATATTTAAGACTCTATTAGGCACTCAAGCCCCGTGGTGGAATATTGATCAGCCACTGAATATAAGTGCAGTTCATACTGAGAGAGGCTGTTGTCCCAATATGGTGTGTGTGTGTGTATAGGACTGCAGTGTATGCTTGCATTGGAAAAAGCCACAACAGAGTCATAAAAATAAGTATTGGTCACTTTTCGTCATTCAGCGATGTCCTTGGTTAAGCCAGAAAATGCTTGTAGTTTCTGTAAAGATGAGGAAAACACTGTATAGAACTGCCTCACAAAAGAAAGCAGCACTAACAACTACCCCTGAGCTTTCCACTGGGATACAGTAGGGACATGGAACAGTAGCAGAAAGACTCGGACCATAATCGGACAGTTAGTCACGGGCAACTGCCTGACTGTTTCTTGTGTAGATCTCCCTCTCACACACTAGAGAGAGGTGATTTATTCAAAATGACAGTGAGAAAGTATTAGTCACAATGGAGAAACAAACAGTTATCCCCCAGTAGATAAAAGTACATTACAGGACAGCCTTATGAGAAATAAAAATGATTTTCTATACTGATATGCTGTCTCTCATTCCTTCATATGGTAACAGATATTTTGAAAAATGTTCCTCCTATGACAATTTGATATGTTGTAATATGTGGGTGGAAGATCTTGTCAGAGTTTCATTTATGTGATATGTTAAGACTGTGAAATTTTTTGCTTGAGTAAACAAGCAATCAACAACAGTATAAGGCAATGTGAAAATGACTTACGGGCAGACAAAAACACATACACACACACACATGCAGTAAACACACAAATGAATGTGTGACGCTTCATTTATACAATTCCCTTGGTGGCAGAGAGGATTTATCAGAACAGCACATTCAATTCATTCATGCAATTAGAATAAAGATTTCCAATATCGTGCCAGGCAAAATTCCAGATGATTTTCAATATCAACCTTCTCTCTCAGCTGATATGAGATTTGTTTCTTCTCCCAGCGGACGCACTAGTGTACATTCATCATTTAGGAATTTGGCTGGTTTCATGGAGCCCGGCGCCTCGCTGAGCAGTCACAGAAGGTATGAAAAAGACAGACACATCAATCTCCCAGTGGTCTTGCCAGAATCATGAAGAAATATGCAAAGGGAGAGGGAGCAAGAGCGTGTTTTTTCCTCCTCAATGAGCCGTTCCCTTCTTTGTTTTCTCATATCTAATAGGATTCACCGTCCTGCAGTCTTATTGAGCTTGTGCAAAAGAAAATGAGTGGGGGAATGAGTTTGTGTACAAAAGTGTCTCTGGGTGCTTTTCTGTTGCTGTAAATGAATACATGTGAGTGTATGTGTGCATTTGTCTGTTTTGCCAGGCTTCTGTGTGTATTTTTAGAGAGGGTAACCAGAGTCTGTCAGACAGGCATCCCGCAACGACGCACTGAAGATTATCCTCAAATTCAGTGCTTGTGTAGAAAATCAAGGGATTTCTCCCTCCCTACTTAGGCAAGTTCTAAGTGGGTTTTTGCTTAAAAGGTGCTTGGGGATCAGAAATGGAAGAGGTGCTTTTTCTTATTCTCCTTCATGCACTCCTTAGTTCTATCTAGAAAATGATGGAGTCATGCTGTGTAGGGAGGTCCTGCTCCATTTTAGGCAGAGCAGAAAGGAACACAGCGTGAATTGATAACAGGGGCTGGGTCCTCCTCCCTCTCCGCGGTGCTGCGCAATCTCAAAAGAGAGACATCCATCAAGTCCTGCCGACCTCCCACAGAGACACAGAGACAGCCATGTCCACATCACGCTGGACGGCTAATCAACGCCTGACAGCAAGGACAACCTTTTTCATACAGCCAAGACGTGTGCAGAACATGCCAGATAGTGTTGTTTATAAAACTTGCATTAGTAACTTCCAAGGGTATCTGAAGTAAAACACAAACTTTTGCACTGCGTATAATTTAAATGCTTGGTTGCTTTTAGGAGCCTCCACTCCTCTTGGACATTACTTCTTGTCTTTGCACTTTATTACATTCATATTCTTTAATAATACTGTATAGCAACCTATCATTTGTGTAAAGGGAACACTCTTTACCTGTGGGGGCTTTGTGGTCCATAATTATAGTCATTATGGTCATGAGTCACTGTAAATGTCGCCTTTACAATTAACATCCACTGGAGCTGGACAACTAGGAGCATCTCAAAATCATTAATGACACTAAAACTTAAAGTCTCAATGATGCTTTTCTGTGACTTTGTATGAAAAGTAATGATAACAGACAGTCTTTTGTCGATTCTTGAATAACTGTTTTCATCACTGGAAATAAGAAATGTACACACTTAGTGTTGAAGAGGGTGTGATTATTTTCAAGACCATATCATCATCCTTCATAAAGATCAAAAAGTTTATAGAAAGCAACTACACTTTTTTGAAAGTGTGAAACTAAACAGCAAACAACACAGTGAAACACACCAGCGCTCCACTGCAACGCCATTGTTTGCAAGAAATGAACACACACTCTGATGGGTAGACAATACATCACTGTCATAGTCCCATGACACTGCGCCATGCCCGCCAACCACCAATACACTTGTCAGCGAAATGACTTGCCAGTCTATGATTGTCAGCAGCTGCCATAATGACAAATTATTTATCTGCTGCTTTACCGTTTTCCTCACCTTATTTCCCCTTGTGTTTCCACCCAAAAGTGTAGCTACTGGCCCCCACCAGTGGCACCAATATCCTCACAGACCAGCCTCCCTAAGAGACTTCAAGCGTTACACTTCCCCATTAAAGAGAAAGCATTTTTTCATGGCATTGTGTCTACACAGCTGGGCAGACGTCGACACACAGGCCCTCAATTGTTTGCTACTTGAGATTGAATGACCGAGAGCGGGATTTGAAAAAGAGAGAGATCAGGTAGAGAAGGAGCAAATACATTGTTCTGTGCCTGAGGGGAGTACAAGCATGGTGTGTATATTTGTATAAGTCACACAAATTTAGTGAAGTCTTATTCCAGTCTCCAATTATACATCAAACATTATAGCAATGTATTTTAGGGTAATACATACATTTATTGAAAGACTCTTTCAGTCATTTGTTTTCATGACCTCTTCCTGGGGGAACGCAGGGGATGCAGAAAGGCCTTTGGTCGCTACACAGTCACACAGCAGGACGAGGACACACAGCACACCTTGCAGGCTCAATAAACACATTTCTATTCACATATGAAAACAAAGAATTGCAGGGTTTTTTCAATATATACTGACTGACCATAAATAAAAACCACAGTGCAATGCAATATAATGCAATAGAAATTCACCTTTGTGCCTTAGTGTTGCATTAGGTTACATCTTCACGTTTTGTTTTTTGCTGTGGCCACTAGTTGTATTAATTTAGCTATCTATTTATCTAGATATCAGTATATCAGTTAGATATTGTTCTTTCAAATTATGTTTAGAATATGATCTTGCAAATAAGTGGAAAAATACTAAAGTTAAGTATGTTAAAAATAACACTATATAAAATATTTATAATAAGCAGGAACAGATTGTACAGGCATTTCCTTAAGTGGAGGTCAGATGAAATTTCATGTTGTCTGTCCAAGTTTGTATGGAGAGTTCACAACAACAGCTTGGCCTTCAGGCTGCCTGCCAGAGACAAAGCACTGTGCTGTCAGTCCAAACCTGCCCACACACACATAGGCTGCAGTGAACTTAAAGTCTGGATGATGGAAAGGAAAACTAGAGCATTTCTATTGCCTACACACCAACTGAAAAGTTTTGCCATGTCACTGGGTTCATCTCTCTTTCACTCTGTGTTAAGTGACCAGTTTCACATTATTCTTGATGTGAATCTGATGACTCTCACTTAATTGCCATGACTGCTTTGAAAATTTTTGACCGACTTAAAAAAGAAATTACAAAAACACTATCAAACTCACATAATTCTGCAAAGGTAAACAACTCTAACCTTTTTGATACAAGAAGTGTATGAATCATTCATTACCCGGCTCTGTCTCTACATTACTCTTCAAGGACTTAACTCACTAAAAGTCCTTTACATTCTGTTGCCTTTGAAACTGAATCACTGTCAATTGTCATTAAATTATATCACGAAACAGAAAGCATGAAACTATAATGACAGAAATGCATAGATATCTTTACACTAACATTTTAAAAACTCACTACAATTACACAGAAAAAATAATTAAAACAATCCAAAAAATATAGACACCATTT